AGTCCTAGATTTATCGGACCTTATGAGATTATAGAAAATAAGGGGAAAGTGGCTTATGAACTAGCATTGCCGATTGAGTTGTCCTCTGTTCATCCTGTCTTTCATGTGTCTCGATAGGCAAGTAAGAAAGTTGAGAACAAAAGATATAGCATCGGTAAAAATTTTGTGGAGTAATCATGATTCAAAAGAGGCTACGTGGGAGGTCGAGGAAGATATGAGTTGGAAGTATCCATATTTATTTGAGGAAAAAGGTATGTGAACCTAGGTTTGCCTTGGCATTTATATTTTATTTATTAAGTACAAGTTAGCATGTGTATATGTCCTTGCTAGATTACATTTTGTTGTTGAAGTATTTAGTTTCTGTTAGAGTATATTTAGTTATTAAATAATTCAGTACCATGCAAGAGTACATTTAATTCATTAAAGTTATTTATTTATTTATTTTGCTGAAGTGTTGTGGTTTAGATTTTGGTTGGTTATTGTGGTACCTCCTTGCCAGAGTGTGAGTAATTCGTTTATGAGCTGTGTATGGTGCCTATGAATGGCCTGTTATGGTATATTTGGTTGTGGTTGGTGTAGTTGTGGTATTTGTGACAGAGATACTTTTTTTTGTATAGTCCAATTTACAGGGGAGACTCTGCCGAATTTTTTGAAAATTTAGGGAGTTAGCCAAAATTTTGAGTCCCTTGGGAAAGTGAGTAATGCTAAGAAAACTTAAGAAGTTCAAGGACCTAAGGAATGATTTTTAGCTTAAGAATAAGGCCCTAGCAACATTCGAGGACGAATGTTTTTAAAGAGGGAAGATTGTAGCACTCCTCAAATCTATAAAAGTTTCAAGACACGCTAAATATAGAATATAATTTTTATAATCTTAAATAATACTTCTCATGCGGATTTAAACCCTTGTGATTGATATTTGAGTTACTTCTCTATTTGTAAATAATTGGATATACAATTAGGAAAAATATTAATAATTTTAATATTATTAATTATTTAAAGTAGGTATAACTATACACTAGTTAAGTCAAAAGAAAAAAATTAAAAATAAGAAAAGAGAGCACGTGAGGCCTTAGCCCATAAGGCATGTGGAAGGCAAAAGGATTTAAAAAAAAGGTTTATACAAAGAAACAGAGAACAAGCATCTCTTCATGCACGAAATACAGAATTGTGAAACAGAGCCTTGCTGCTCAGTACTCACGCAGGCAACGGGAAGTTCTAAGTTTATTTACAAATCACTAACTCTTGAACTCAGGTATATAAAATTCCCTATTGTCAATTATTCTACAGTGGTAGTAGGTAAGAATTGAATAGTTAATTCCCTTCTTTCTCTGTATCAACAGTAAATCCCAGGTTTAGGTGTGAAACTT